GGTAGGGAAGTCTCTGTAGGATTGTAAACATGCAGCATAAAAGATACCTTACTCCCTATATCCCCCCCCCCACCTTTTTGCCTGCAATAGATTAATAAGCATCTGTCAAAAGTGATGAAATATTTTAAAACTGATGCATTATAGTATTCATTTGTGATACGAATATAGGCTCCTTGAGAGAGGACTCTCTTTATACTTGTCTCCTGTAAAGTACAAAGCACATGGCTGGCCCATTACAAAAATAACAATTGTTAAACACTAATAGGTCCAAGAGCCAGATCTCTCTGCAAGCTCTTAGGGTTGGTTGACACTACCGTGGTAAGTTGACCTAAGTTATACTACTTCAGTAACGTAACTGAAGTTGACACAGCTTAGGTTGACTTACTGCAGTGTCTACACTGTGCTGTGTCATGGGAGATGCTCTCCCACCGACTTCTTACTCTTCGCAGGGAGCTGGAGTACCGGATTTGACAGGAGAGTGCTCTGCCATTGACTTAGCAGACCCGCTAAATTGACACCGCTGCATCAATCACAGCAGTGCCTATCTACCGGTAAATGTAGACCTGAGTAAATAGGCCTTGTCTAAAGATTTTCAGCAGCCCAAGAGGAGAGAAGGGAATCTTTGGGTTTTTATTTACACACTCTGAATTCTGCACGTGCATCAGTGTGATTTCAGCAGACAATGAATGAGTCTCCTGAGTGTGAGACATCGGGAAAATATGCAAGCTCTTCTTGCTAGTGGGTGAGGCTGGGGCAAACAACTGGCTTCTTTGGCCAGCAAGAGGCATGGGCACAGAATTCATCTCCTCTTGCAGAAAACTTGGGGTATTTGACTGCCATTATCTTCTTGAAGGTGACTACATCAGAAATAGTATCCAGGGTGGGATTTTCAAAAGCCCTCAATGTTGGTCTAAATTTGAAGTTTGACCCTTGACTTCAACAGAAGCAAGTTAGGCCAGCAAATGAGCACTTGTGAACATTCCCCCATTAGTCTATATTCCCCTTCTCACTGTGTTATTGGTCTCTGGTCTCAAATCTTGGGGAGAGCTGATAGTATTTGTTTCATTGAAACCCTTGATTATCAGTCCAACTAACAACACTATTTTATGATATAGTTAAGACCAACTCTTCCTCTAGTGTAATTGGTGTAGCTCTGTTGTTTACAATAGCTGAGGATTTGGCATGCAATGTTTTAAACACTAGTGGAACACATATTATGTTAATGCAGTATGTGCTTTTAGTTCTTTGTGCAATATACATATCTGAGGCTGCAGCGTGGGGCACGGGTCACTTGCTGGAAGATTCTCTGCATCTTGAAGTCTTTAAATCACGATTTGAGGACTTCAATGGCTCAGACACAGGTTTGATACAGGAGTGGGTGGGTGAGATTCTGTGGCCAGCGTTGTGCAGGAGGTCAGACTAGATGATCATAATGGTCCCTTCTGACCTTAAAGTCTATGATTCTATGATTCTGCAGGGCTTACTCACATGAGCAGCCCTATTGACTTCAGTGGGACTGTTCGAATGCATAAGAACTAGAGTGGAACCTTGGTTGGAAAACTTTTTCTATTTCCTTAATCTCACATCAGCACATATTGTTCGAAGCCTTTTGGGCGTTATTTTAGCAGCCATTTATGGGATGACAGCATTGTTACAAGGAAGTCACTGACTATTCACATTTGTCTTTGATTTACATGAATACTAATATAAGCGTCTTTGTAAAGTGAAATCTTTTCATCAATTTCCCTCTCATTTGAAATCTTTTGAAATCTTGGATCTATGTACTTCTCTTATTGTTATCCCTTTTATGATGATCTATTTTTTTAGCTTTTAACTTTGCAAGATTTCTTCTGTACTTTTGAGCCAAGAATTTACAACCCCTCCCTCTCCAAACTATTGAATAAAAGGATGTGTTATGTAGACATTAACAAAGTAATGAGTCAGGGAACAGTTACTTACTGATCTAGAGAATTGTTACCTAACATCCCAAGGAACTCTGCTTCAGGAAGATGCTTGATTTTGTGTTTATATAACATTGCAGATGCAAAATATGTATCTTATTAACAAAAGTGCATAATTCACAATGCTGAGAATGTTTAGATTTTTGTAATAGAATGGCCTATACAGCATATGCTTTATATTTTTCTGATTAGCTCACATTGGTGTCTATAGGCAATGTGCCTGAGAATTGGAAGCAGCATTACATGTGCAATATATACCACAATGTCCACAGTAGCAACTATACCTGCTAGAACCCTCTCCTGACATCTTTATTCAGTCCCAGGAACTCAGGAATAAAGGACTTATCAGATCAGATCTAGAGCAGCGTCCACCTAGTCCAAAATCCTTTCTCTGACAGTGGCCAACACCAGAAGCTTTAGGGAAAGTTGCAAGAAGCCACATAGTGGACAATTATTATGGAACATCAGCCCAAAGAGAAGGTTTCTTTTTAGTTAGTGGATGAGGATTTAGAGCCTTTTTATATATTTGTATTCACCCTAATGTAATTGTGGATATTCTCATTATCCATATAAATGTCCAAACTTCTTTTGAAAGTTACTGACCCTCAGAACAAGTAGTTCTGTGTTGGAGGATGACAATTGACCTTACGTCTCTTTGTAGAGTCATTGTCCAATACCTTGTACCAATGACAGCAGTTTTGCAGAGAATAGAAGTGGCATAAAAAGTGTGGCTAAACGGAAGGCTTCAATTTCTGTGGTTATCAGTGCAGCAGTCATCAAGATAAAATTCACAATATTAAAAAAGGAAAAATAATATGAAGGAAAGAAGAATACTGGATCTATGAAAATCAGACATACTGTGGAAGCAGAGAAAGAACTGACAGGAAGGGGATGCAATGCCCTTCTAATGTTAAGCAGTTCTAAAGTTAATGTTTGTACAGCACCTAACACAATAGAGTTGGGGTCTCTAGGCACCACCTCAATGGAAATAATTATAATCCTAATAAAAGCTATCCTGTTAACATAGAAGCTTTATTTTTGTCTTTAGTTTCCCTAAACAATTTCTGGAAGATAAAACAGTCAGCAGTTCCATGGGGAAAACAAAGCTGCTTTGTGTTCAGATGCCATATTTCAATTACAGGAATATAGCAAATAACTAAATATCTTTTATAGCTGAAAACTTAAATCCCAACAGGAAGAAAAAAGAAAGGTGTTCCTGGTGCATTAAACAATCCAGCTACTATATTTATCCATTTACCTGTTAGTAGAGGGGCTGAAATCCTGAACTTGCTCCCTGCTGTAATATGTACTGCATGATAGACTGGTCCCAGTAAGTGAACACATCTGCTGCTGCTCCCTGTGAACCAATACCTCTGGACATTGCATTGATTTCAGGAGGGTGTCATCGTAAAAGGGCAACACAGGACTTGGGGAGGGAAGGGGATGGTATTGAAGTGGGTTTTAGCCCACGAAAGCTTATGCCCAAATAAATTTGTTAGGCTCTACGGTGCCACAAGTACTCCTCGTTGTTTTTATCATGGAACAGATTAAGGCAGGAAAAGAAAATCTAGAATAAATCTCTTATTGACATCAGTGGATATAGGAGCATGGCCTAAATAATTTACATATCAGTATGTTGTAAACACCAGAAATATATATATATTTGTGCAATATACATACCTATATTATATAGACATATATAAAATATACATATATAAAAAACAGGCACCCCAAGAAGAGTTTTTACCGCAAAAAGGAAGAAGTGTCAGAGACTCTATGAAGTCCAGTAGGGACTTTGCTATTGCTATCGATTTTACGTGGAAGGTGGTCAGATTCTACAGTGGTGGGCAGCAGGATAAAACCCTATGATAGATAGATAGATAGATAGATAGATAGATAGATGATAAGTTAGGTGATTATTCAAAAACCATCAATAATACTGTATTTACTTATATTTCAAACTGTTGGAAGATTTAAAAATAATGGCCATTCAAGTAAGTTACACTTTATATTCTTTTTCCATTGAAGAATGCTTAGGGCTATATTTAGTCTGTGGGTGGACCTTCCATATGAGGTCAGCAGGAGTTGCAAATGTGACTTGAGAGCATGATAAGGTCCTTGCAATTGAAGGTTAAAAAAAAAGAACTGAGGTTTATCAAAGGTGGCCAATACTAATGCGTTGATTTTACTCCATCTGAGATTCTGAGAATCTTTCCATTTTAGTAATAATGGAAAAGGTTGTTCAACGTCAAAAGATTGTATTGTTTTATTCTACTCATTCAAAACCAAACCCAACCCAACCCCCTGAATTTGAGATGCCAATGAAAAATGTGTCGATATGAGGGGATTGTATTCGATTGTAAACACTTCAGAGCAGGGATTTTGTCTTCAAATATGTCTGTACAGCACCTAGGAATAACTAAATCATCATCATCGTATTACTCTACTCTTTTCAGTGTGGTTTAGTAGCTACTGCAGGTAACTGGGTTCTCCTTGCTTCTGAATTCCAGGGATGGAATCCTGGGCCCATTGAAGCCAATGGGAATTCTCCCACTGACTTCAGTCAGGCCAGGATTTCACCCTCTGTGAAAAAGAGGTGTTCTTAACTGCGGTTAGCTAACTCAGGTTACAGTAGCAGTGAAGATACAGTAAATCGGCTTTTAACTTAGGTTAGTAACTTGAGTTTAACCTCAGGTTCCCCTATAGGCTTTAACTCAAGCTGCTAAGCTAAGCTAAAGGCCAAGTTGCAATGTCTTCACTGCTAATTTAACCCCTGTTAATTAACCCAAGCTAACACACCTTTGTTGCAGTGAAAAACATATCTGTGTGTAACCTTGGGCGAGTTACTGGGCCTAATTGTGCCTCGGTTTACCTAATTGTAAAAATAGGGGAAATAACCTGTACCAGCTTTAGTGGTGTACTATGAGCCTTAATTAATTAATGTTTGTTGAAAGTGATAAAGTGGTGAAAATTATTGTTATTTCTATTATTGTACACCATCAACTGTTTTGTTTTTCATGCTCTCTCTCTTTCCTCCAGGTTGGCTGCTATTTGAAGACCCCGAGGTACCCAATTTGGGTCGTGTGCAGTGAAAGCCATTTCAGTGTGCTTTTTTGCTTGAGAAAGGACTTACTAGGTGACTGGAAAACGGAACGGAGATTTGACCTCTATTACTATGATGGCCTGGCCAACCAGGAAGAGGAAATCCGGTTAACAGTTGGTATGTATAGGAGAACCTTTGCATTTCCTCTGCAGTGACAGTAGCAGCATCACACCTGAAAGAAGAGTCCTGATAAAATGACTCAAATCTAGCCAGCTGTTGATGGTATCAGACGATTAGAGGTTTGGTGCCCATTGCCTAGGTTTCCATCATTAGTTACAATAAATAGCGGTTCGCATCATGATCATTTTGAGGATAAGGGCCCTTAAAGGTTTAAAAGTGAGCATGCACTATTTCCCAGAATCTCCTACACCCTTAAAGAAAGCTGATTTCTAAGGGCTAGATTGTGATCTGGTCTATCCAGACTCACAGGGCCATAAACCAGTTGTGCGTTTGGATAGGCTCCACATCTCTGCAGGCGCAGGGGACAAAGTAGGTACTGCAGGCTCAGTATTACCCCCTCCCCTTGCAGGATGGGTGGGAAATGGCAGAGAGGGTGGGGAATGGTTACAGCCTTAGCTAGAACCTTAATGCTCCTTCAGGGACAGCTGAGTTGGTGCAGGGAATATAGTAATCTGCTGCTAATAAGGGCCAGTTCCTTCCTTGGACTGCTTGTGAGGCAGCACACCTACACACTGCCCTTTAGTCATGGCTAGTTGTAAGTGGGCAATCTGGCCACTCATTAAACAGAGCTGCTGTGCCCAACCTTGAGAGTTGCAGTGTGGAGTTCTGGGTGCTCAGAAGCACCTTTCAAGATTTGGTCCTTGGTAAGTGAAATTGTAGCAGCACCATAGTTTGGATCTTCTTACTCAAATTCACCTAGCGTCCGCCCTACTGGGATGATTATGAAGGTTGTAAGTTATCTCAGTGATGAGCTGCCAAAATACCAGTTCCCTACCGGTTCTTCGGCGGCGAGTCCTTCACTCGCTCCGGGTGTTCGGCGGCACGGTGGCGGAGGCGGCGGGTCCTTCAGTGCTGCCGAAGACCCGGAGCGAGTGAAGGACCCGCTGCCGAAGTGCCGCCGGTGAGTACAAGCCCGTTCCGGTAGGGAACCGCCCGGTGAGTACAGGCCCCACGTGCCTCCCAAAACAGCCTACCCCCCATCCGACCCCCACCCACGTCCTGCCCCCGACTGTCCCCCTCAGAACCCGCAATCCATCAACCCCCCCCCCGCTCCTTGTCCCCTGACCACCCCCTCCAAGACACCCCCCACCCTAACTGCCCCCCAGGACCCCACCCCCTACCCAACTCGCCCCGCTCTCTGTCCCCTGACTGCCCCGACCCCATCCACCAGCACCCCAACAGACCCCCGGGACTCCCACGCCTACCCAACCCCCCCCGGTCTCTGTCCCCTGACTGCCCCCTCAGAACCTCCTCCCCCTCCAACCGCTCCCTGCCCCTTATACAACCCCTCCTGCCAGCCCCAACCCAGCCCCCTTAGCATGCTGCTCAGGGCAGTGTGTATGGATGCCGCGCGGCCCGCTGGAGCTCGCAGCCCCACCCTCTTACCATGCTGCTCAAAGCAGCAGGAGCTGCAGAGCTGCCCAGGAGCGGTCCAGAGCCCTGGCGCCGGCAGCACGGCACGCTAGGGCTCTGCAAGAAGGGGGAAGGTGGGGGAGGGGCTGGGGGATCCTCCCCAGCCGGGAGCTCAGGTGGGCCGGACAGGACGGTCCCGCGGGCTGGATGTGGCCCGTGGGCCGGAGTTTGCCCACCCCTTTAATAACCGGTTCTAAACCGGCTTCTAAATTTAACAACCGGTTTGCGCGACCGGTGTGAACCGGCTCCAGCTCACCACTGGGTCATCTCCATAAATAAACAAACTTCCAGGTACCCATATGTGATCTATTTCAGAAGTGAGAAGACTTACTAACATATATCGTATAAAGGGCCACTAGGAGAGAACATTTATTATAAATACCTCCTGCTACCCTTACACACAGCTACTACATTTATTTTTTCATATGCCCCCAATTTTTGTGAAACGTATGCCTCTCGGGCTGACCTTTTCCGTGATTTTTTCCAATGTTTTTGTAAGTTTGAGAAAAAACATTTCAGTTTTTGAGTTATTGAAAAGCAACAACACACCCTTTTGGTTCAAGCCAGTCTTATTAGTTGTCCATGGTCAAGGAGAACCCTTACTTATTAATTATTTCTAACAGTGGTGAGTTTGTTTGTGGCAAGGACGTCATTTGTCAGCATACCAGTAGAGACCTAGGTTCTATTTACTCCTCTGCTACTAACATCTGTGTACTTGGGCAAGTCACTTCACTTCACTGTTGTTCTTAGTTTATCCATCAGTAGAACAGGAATAATAATACTTGCTCACACTTTGAGATCTGTGGATGAGAAATTGCTAATGATTATTTTGTGTATTGTTTCTTTGTACCTTTCAACCAACTCTTATGACTCCAATTTATTTCTCCTCTGGAATTAGGCTTGGATTCAGAAATATGTTTTAAGTTTAAGGCATCACCCCCCCAAATGGTTTGCACTACTAAATCTTTTCTTATCTTTGGAATTTTGCAGTACTGCATTAACTCCAAATAGTTTCACCATTCCAGCTAGAAAATCTCTCCAAGAGTCCTCTGAGCCTGTTGTGTGTCTTTGGAGATAGCCATCCTGCTCAGTACAAACTTTGTTTGATCTTGAGAAATATTGGAGTTCTTTAACATCTCCTAAAAAGTGGAACTGAGTCTTCTGAGGCCGTATGTGCTGTGCTTTCTTTGACCAGATGTGCAAAAGTAGTGTTCCTTGAAATGATACCCTTTGCCCAGGGCTGTAGTTTGTAACCAAGGAGGCAGAATCAAGGCCTGGTAAAGCCTTTTGTAAAAATAGAGAAAGAGTCAAGCAGTGGCAAGCAGAATTAACTTCATTCGGAGTGGATCAGAACACAATCTATGTAGGACTTTACTGATGCACAGTCTCATGCTCGCCCTTTGCATAGGGGCAGATTTTATCTATAGTGCTCACTCATATGGACCCATTTGCCACAAGTTAGAGAGAATACCTGTTATCTCTTGCCAAAAAACAGAGCAAATCCCTGGTCGCAGAACTTCATTCTGCCTTTACAGGGCAAAAAGGGCCTTCTTCCCCACAGAAAGTCCTACTCAGATATAGGCAGCAAATAGGCTGATTTATTTGGAGGGAACGATGCACTCCATGAGAACTTTCCATGGCTGTCCTGTTTCACCCATGTGCCTTTGTCAGTCATTCAGGGACTCTCCGTGGGTTCAGGGATATTTATTATATATTTTACACAGAACTTTCAGAAAAGAATGACTTTTTTTGGACTTCTGGAGAGATGTCGCTGATCTTTATAATGATTACAGATGATGACCATCTATGTATCTTATCCCATTTAAACATCCTTTGAACTCAGAACTCTTTAAAATGGGGTTCTCAGGAGCATACAGTCATTTCCTAATTGCTGGGGAAAATATAACTGTGGTTGGAGTTATTAGAAGGTGGCATTTTCTCCAGAGGCACATTCACCACCCATAATTCCAAGGCAGTTGCCGTAGGTTACTGTAAATAGTTTGATTGACTTAATTGAAAAGTAATTTAAATAATGGAGATATCCCATCTCCTAGAACTGGAAGGGACCTTGAGAGGTCATCAAGTCCAGCCCCCTGCTTTCACTAGCAGGACTAAGTACTGATTTTTGCCCCAGATCCCCAAGTGAGGCTTTTGGGTATTGCATGTATATTGATTGCTGTACTTCCCGTTAAAAAGAGTTTTGTCCCGCATTTAAGAAGAGAGGTTATGTGTGTGCCACTATAGGCTTTGTGGAAAAATGATTGGTAAAACATAAGTGGTTCTGAATGGCAGGGTACCATTTTTAAATAATAGAAGTACCACTTATGAGGTTTTCAGACTATCATACTTTTCTTTAAACTACACCTTTGCTCATAGTACATTACCAGACTCATCCTGAATGGAATCGGCTCTATATGATAATATTTGATCTGCCATCCCATGCTAATACTAACTGTTTGCAGGATTTGGAAAGACGATTTAGCATGTAGATTGGAAGCTCTTTGGGGCAGGGACGATCTTCTTGTTCTGTGTTTGTACAGTGCCTAGCACAGTGGGGCTCTGATCCATGATGTTGACTCCCAGGCATGATGATGGTGATGATAAATATCTGAAATGTCTCTGCAGATACAGTTCAGCCTTACACTGAAGATAAAGAAAATGACCTTATTCCTCCACTTGAGCACTGTATTAGGACAAAGTAAGTAACCCTCATCTAACATTTTATGGCCCTGAGTTTCAGTTCTCTAAATTTTTTCTCAAAATGAGGTTTTGACTTGCAATAAAAGAAATATGTCCGGCTGAGTCATACAGAGTTGTTGGTTAACATAAAGAAAGGACCTGAATGAGCAAGAGCTGGATAACAAAACATATCAAAAATAGGGTTCTATTCCTGTATGATGTTATGATGACCACATTAATGGGCTGGGATATTCAATTTAGTGCTTAAAGAAACCTTCAGTAAATCACTAAGAGCTGGCCGTATTGCAGTAATTCTCCTTGACTTCCATAGGACCAGAATTGGGCCCCCAAAAGCAATTTGTTACAAGAGCACAAAATGCATGAACATAAGAACGGCCATATTGGGTCAGACCAAAGGTCCATCTAGCCCA